CGCGCGCATTGTAAAATTTCACTCTCATAAATTTTTCATAACGCGCCTAAAGAAGTATAACTTCAAAAAAAAAAAATATTAAACAAATTTTGTGTGTTGACTAGCTTTAGATCAATTTAGTCACAACTGTATTTTGTTATAAATAAAGTGTAGGAGTTTAACACACATTAACAATATATAAAAAGATATAGTAGTGCGCAGTGTTAAAAAGTTTTTCACTAACATAAAACAAATGCGTTAATATGAATAAATATTTAAATAAATCTTGTTTTTTTTGTCTCGTTCAATAGATAACATTTGTTGTCAGGTAAGTGATCCCAAGTGAGGATGTCTCTGTGTAAACTGATGAAAGAGGTGACTATTTAAGCTCATATTGGTGTGACTTTTGTGTCTAACGGTCTTGTTCATTACTTTGTCAATTAGAAAGTAATATGCCTAATATTCTTATATTTGAGGCTTACAATTATGTACAAGGCTGTAAGGTTCAAAGTCTTCGTCACAATACAGTATTTGTATAGAAGAAAATGGCTCGACAGATCTTGAAATAACATTGCGGAACAATTCATGTTATCTAGATTGTCTGACGTTTCCGACATGTACAGGAAATATTGACACTGTAGAAAAGTGTTGTTTTTGATAAATAAACATTTGTAACAATGCTTGGGTACTTATTGTAAAGATAATACAACATTGATAAAAAATCGTGCTTCCCTGGATTAAGAAAACATAATTAATTAAGATGTGCTCTTGCCAACCTTTATTGAATCTACTAAAGTGGTGGATTCTTATGTTTTCCTGTAGAGTTTTATTATTGAACCTGTGCGAGGTATGCTGCAGTTCACGTTTGTATACAAAAAGCGGTAAATACGTTCATTACTTGTTAGACACGGCGGTAGCAACGGCCCTTCTCACTAGGGTTGGCTATCGTGAATTTAAAAATAAGATCGGCCCTTTTTCGGTTAATATAAAACTAAACAGACTGCTGCATTAACTGTGTTTTTCAAGGTCAAATTAAGGTAATTATTTACTTTGTCAGGGTGTCTCTGGATAAAGATCTCTCTCATTAAGTGCTTCTTGAATTTTAAATTGTTTAAATTTACAATAATGCTGATATGACTGGAGGCTGATCACCTACTTGCCTATTAAATTTAAAAATTATCATGAAACAGATTTAGAAATCCGAGGCCAAGACCTAAAGAGGTTGTAACGCCACAGATTTTTTTTTTAATGCTGATATTGAAACCTTTGGTGTTTATAAGACTAGCACTTTTATGCAAAGAGTTGGAACGAGAGATGAAATGAGATATGAACAAAATATATTTTCATATTTTAAGGATCTCGAAGGACGATTTTCAGTGGATAGATACGTTAATATAATGTCAGTTTCTCCGTATTTTGAATCGTTTTTACGCAACCCTGCACTTTAAGTAGATCGACTACATTTTCTTTCAAAGCGAGTCTGTCAACTTTCAAGTTGAATATTCTTATTACTCCGTAGATAATTAATGTATTGAATGTAAAAAACCTTCTAGCCGACCACGGCTAATGGCCTTTAGAGAATTGAAATCTTAAAATTCATATTCCTAAGTAACAATGATAATTATAATTTACATAACACGTATAATTGAGAGCAATGTTTTGGCTAGCTATTTCAGTCAATTAATGTGTCATTCGAGTTAACGAAATCTTTACTAGCTGACCCGGCAAACGTTGTTTTGCTTTGTATATTATTTCTAGGAAACATTTGTTAGTTCCATAAAAATAACTATCTACAATAATAAAAATAGAGGATAATCGTAGAGGGGTGAAAATTAGGGGTTACAACCCCTAGGGGTTTTCGTTTTGTATGATGTATCATAAAAAAATAAAAACAAAAACAATTGTCTAAATAATAAACAATAAATTTTTGGGCTGGACACCCCTTATCACTTAGGGGTCTGAAAGATATATTAGCCGATTCTCAGACTTACTGAATATGCCTAAAAAATTTCATAAGAATCGGTCGAGCCGTTTCGTAGGAGTATGGGAAGAACATTGTGACACGAGAATTTTATATATTAGATATCAAATTATTAACGTTTTAAAATATAATGTCAGATTGCCTGATTGTTGAACAATGGGTAATTAGTTAATTAACTTACTAAGCAATATATATATATAATATTTATGACTTTACGTAGAGTGCTGACTCTTAAACTCTATGCCAGTGTATGTAAAGTGGTTCAAAATGTGACTACAATATTCCAAGGAGGTGACGACTTAGAACGGCTAACACTTCTTTTGAGTTACGTGCTAGCAGATGGTCAATGAACTTTAAACTAGGTTCCTAAGAAACTGAAGTAGGCTATAGCGTGGATTGCAGACATGCCACCGTGGCCTAAATTAATAAATTAATGCTACAAATGACTTTCATCGAATTACTTTTTACGACTGTATAATATGCATAGATGGCATGTAATTGCGTCAGGATATTTCTATTATTTTAAGCGTTAGGGAGCGTCCAAGTATTACGTCACGCAATTTTCGAGATTATTGACCCCCCCCATGTAACGCGCCGTAACGTTTTTCTGTAACCAATAGTAAAACGTTTCATGACCACCCGGAGTGACTCTTTATACCTAAAAGTTACCATTATGTGGTGTACGGAACTGGAAAGTCGAAAATAATATTAACAATAACGCGTAATTCAATCCCCGCCCCGCATCGTAACGTTTTACAAAAGGAGCCCCCCTCCCAAAATTCGTTACGCAATACTTGAACGCTCCCTTAATTGTAATTACTAGAAGGGTGTAAATCTGTTAAAACTGCTTATAATTTTATATAAGGCTTGGCTTTAATGATAAGGCATAGTGCTACAGCAACTCCTTCAAGCTATGTAACAATACATTTTCAAAAGGACAATTTAAATGTGGCTTAAAAATTTCGAATTTATTCAAAGTGTTCTTTTGTCCCCATAGTTTTCGTTGGTAACATGAATTGCGTGCGAGACTTCAGAAAATGGGTTATACGGGTCGTGAGCGCAAAAAAGCAGGTAACCCTGGCTTCGTGAAATTTGTTACATTACAAAAAACCAATCGAGTGTAAAAACTCCTTTGTTGGGTTTCGCTGCGAGAAATACTAATTTGATAAACTACAAGGACGCGGATAATGTTTTGTGAGGTTCTTACCGACACGACTTACAGGAAGCCATTTTACATTAAATACTTTTTGTTAACTACCGTTTAAGTGGTAGGTATTTCCTAGATAAAATATTATCGGAATTTGTAAGTATTGTAATTTCAATGTATGTTCCATTACAGAAGAGGTTCTGAGACTTTATATTTACTATAGTTTCTGTGTTATAAGATGTTATGCGACAAAGAACTTGTGTGTGTTTAAAAAAATTACAATTATTAATTAAATTTATACATAGAATCAAAACTTATATGTATGACTAACAAAGTTACACTATCGTATACCTTGAGAATGATAAACACGACAGACAACTGTAGAACGTCACCATGGCTTAGTAGGCGTGACGTTGATGAAAAATTGCTGTTTTTGTAATTTGTTTTGGACTTATATGATTGATATAAGGAGTATTTCTACTATTACCCAAGTAGTATTGAATATAACATATATCTAGAATCGACAATGGTCCGAAACACAGAAAGATATCCAAACCAAGACATATGAAAGGTCCCTGAATCTTAAGAAATACATAATAGATCTTTTGCTAATTTTCAGTTTTATATAATAAATTTTAAAAAAGAAAAAATTGCCGAAAAACTTACGAAAGAAAGCCAAAAATTTATCACTTAACAAACAATTTTAGCGAAATATTTTTGAATAAATTACGTCTAATACTATAACCACACATTTTAACATAAGTGAATCGAAATATTTTTGAATAAATTACGTCTAATACTATAACCACACATTTTAACATAAGTGACATAGTCTCTAATTGCAAAATGTTTCTTAAGTCAAAATCTCATCTTGAGATCTGTCAATAATGTACAAACTAGATAATACCTTCCCTAGGTTTTTAAGTCGGTTAAAAATGGTTTGTGCCATGAAAAAAATCCTTGCAGTTTGATTATTATAACATAAAAGCTGTCTATGTTTAGTCAATTACAAATTAATGTAAAAGATGTAAGAATATATTATCCACTATTTTATTGATTTATTTATAGTTGAACGATAATCACGTACGATGCAACCTGCAATCGGAAATGCTGATGAACCCGTGAGATAACACATTTCGTGACAACATTTGTAACAGGATACACATACTAATGAACATACAGTATGGAACTTTTATTTTAAATTCCCTTTGAGGGACTAAAAGGAAAGTTGTGTCTGATATGCTAATGACCATTCCTCATTGCCCATATATGGTAAAGTTATAACTTGTTTGTATTGAGTCCAAGCCTTTTATTTGAAATATTAAATGTTTCATTATTCCCGTAGCTAAGTTCATGAATTGTTATTTTATATTATATTGTCTTATCTACCTCATAAATAGAATCAGCATTATCATAAAACTGTAACAAACAAAACTATAGATATCATAATAAAACCACTTTAAGATACAACTTTTTTACTTCCATAAGGTCACCGTTGATATTTCCTTGACTGTATTTACATATAGCCTTTACTATATATATTATATAGTTGCAATGCACAAATGAGACAGACATTAGCATATTGATACCATTTAAGTATCATCTAATGAACAATATACTAATGTTGCATAAAACATTTAAATGAACCCTAATGTACTCAGGGTACTGTGCATAAGGTTTAATACTTACTTGTATTTATCCTTACCAAAAAAAAAAACAACCAAATCTAGTAACACGCTTCACAAAAAAATCTTAGATCTAATAAGATAATCCTATAATATTAATATATTTTTAATAAAATGACTTGGAAAACGTAACAGACAAATAAATGAATGTACAATCTGGCCTATTTCCATTAGTGTAAGGGAATCACCTTATTGAAACTAAATCAGCCTATCCATATTCTTTTAACTGAAATACTTTTTCATCCCTTTCGGCTATACTCTGCAATGAAAAGAGACTCGAGTAATTTTGTTAATAAGTTATACATTTTTATGAATAAGGGTTAAACTCCTCATTCCTTGTATGATCCTTGGTAGAAGGATTAATGAGCCTATATGGATTGGAAAAGGGGTAGCAGACTTTGAAGTTTATAATGTTTTAGACATTATTGTAAATTTGTAAAGTAATGCTAATATGATTAGTTTAAGTTCAATGAAAGGTTAATTAGTTATGCTCCATTGACCTTAAACCATGTCAATGGCTTTCTATGTTGAATATTGACAACAATGAACTCAATACAAAGTAAGGGTTCAAGGTTTTATATCATAAAATGTTGTCTTTATAATTTTTAATAATTAGATTCTTATTCATATAGCAATTATAGTACTCTATAGTATAAATATTGGTGTTGTCAGTGATTAGTATGATAAAGATGTATTGGTCAGATAGACAATAAAATAGATAAAAAATAAAGTAAAAGCCTTCGTAGATATAATACAAATGTGTATTTCAGTATGTTTCTAATGAATAAACTCTGGACTGATTACAAAAATTCCTTCACCATTAGAATGCTGGATTATCTTTGTGCAACATAGCTATATTTCTTTCTAAGTATAAAAAAAATAAATTATCCAGTTGTGCTAAGCTAGGACAGGCCTCTCTAGTAACTCTAAAAATTGATACCTGATCCTAGTCAGTATGACTTATATGTTACATTTTAATTTTATGATAAATATTTCTTACTACTAATTTTAAAAATATTGTTGCAGAAAAAAATCCCACATTTGTATCTTTATTTGTTGCTTTATTGATTCGGAACTCACAAATCAATTAAGTTCTCCCTAGGAGGCCTTTCGTCCGTGAAGTAAATTAGTCGTTATCATAAAAGGTATGGACATATGATTCAAGGTGATCAGCTCAAATATAATGAAAGAAAATAAAATATGTAAACACTATTGACTCACCAGTTGCCACTTCGACTTGCGTGTAGGATCCGCAATCGTGATGAGAAGTCTGTGGATCATTTGCACTGTACCCTCATAGTAGACGAGAGCCGACTCGTAGTTTCCCATCAAAGCCATTTCGCGGGCAAGCTTTGTGTTCTCGCAAATTTCCCCAACAGAAACTGCCATAATTGTCATTCCCGCTGCGTACATATAACTGATTCTTCCCAGAAGACTACTTTTCCACACGGAGAGAGAATAAAACGCATGTGACAATCGTTTTACGAGAATTTATCATATTTAAAAACTTAGATATTCACATTTTAATTCAACAACGAATTTATTATTGAAAACTTAGTGATTGATTTCATATCTCATAGCAACGGGTTACGGGAAATTTAAAACCGTGCCCGTCCTTAGAGAGACAAAACAAACTTTACCAATTTTGATCGACGACTACAGCAATTTGAAATTTGAATATGACGTACATTAAACTGGCAATTGACACCTACTACAGTCAAAGGACTGCAAAAGAAACACAGATAATTAAATATATATCTATAGATAATAAACGAAATTATGTTTTAGTGAGGAAGAAAACTGCCAAACTTTGCCGCTAGTAGCGCTTGTATCGCATGACTCATAATAAAACATGTAAACAAACAAACGTGTAAAACTAAAAACAAGATAAAAACATATTTTATGTCGTTGTCAAGCCGTGATTAGGGCTCATGGAGGCCACACACGTTAAGGCCGATTTACATTATCTTAGTGTTTAGGAGAGTGCTTTAGGATAGTACTTTAGTTGAAACATGTAAACGCTACTTGCTTTAGTAAACGCTACTTGCTTTAGTACGGTTCTACTTGACTTTCAAGTTGAATCAAAATAGAATCGCTTTTTATTTTTGTTTCAAGTGATACCCCTCTCGCGCCCGCGCACCCCCCCGAGATCTTCCCTCGTTATGTGTAAACACGTAATTTAGTCAAATAGGAGAGTGCATAAGTGCCGTGAAACGCGTGCGTGTTTTTTTGATTTTTAAAGATGGCTAAATGGTCGGAAGATACAACTATCAAATTTGGGTCTGAATATGTTGTTCACGAATGTTTGTGGAACGTTAAAAACAATTTATACAAAAACAAACCGGCTAGGCATTCGGCATACACTGCCTTAAAAGAAGCTATTTTGTTTATTATTTATATTTAGTTTATTTATTTCGAACAAAATCTCGTCTTTTATTTGTTCCATAACTACAGTTAGTATTTTGCGTAGAATAGAGCGTATTTGCCGACGTCGTTGCGCGTTCATTGTGGCGCTGTAATTATACTCTACTGGAAGAAATGTAAACGTTCACTCGCAACGCACTAAAGCACTAAAGAACTTGCCTTTCAAGTTGTACTAAAGCACTCTCCTAAACACTAAGATAATGTAAATCGGCCTTTATGGTCTAAGATCCCGCTATACAACGACCTTCACCGAGATGCTTATTTAATGAAACTTATTTTATATTTAATTTAATATGTCAATAAATATAATCCATATGGGTTGCCTAGCAAACTTCAGTCCAGAGTATTTTAATTAATATTAAAAAAAAAATATTTTTTTAAACATTTCACCGGTATGATTATTAGATAAATTCTATACCAATCGAAAGTATAAAGCCCATAGAATATGCAAACGTTAGGTTGTTTTTAATCAATTAATTATTTATGTGTATATTTTTTATGTGACACTAAAGTATATATACATCTTTAGTATAAAAGAAGGTTATAGTGATACATATATAATACTACCCTGATTAAAAATATTGATTGAAAAAAGTTCAAAAAATTTACTACATGCAAATTATAAAAAACTTTTTTTTTTTAATATTAATTAAACATACTCTGGGGCCTTAGTCAAGATACCTTAACAGTAGTGTATGTAGAACGTCAAAAACTAAATTTGTATGAAAACTTTTCGACACGAACTGTCATTTCCATACAAATTAAGTTTTCGAATTTCTACATACACTACTGTTAAGGCATCTTGACTAAGGCCCCAGGGGGTCTACATATTGGTGTCGAAAAGTATTCTACATAACTACCGCTTTTGCTAATTGTATTGTCGAAAAGCTTCGTTGTAGCCAAGAGGCATGTCGATACATTACCGCAAAGTCGACAGCTAGAAGCGAGCTGCTGTTCGTAGCACCTTATTCCGTCATATTGTCTCTGGATTAAACGTATTCCTAATGTCACTTTTATAAACAAATAAAAGTTAAAAATTTTACAATATTATTGTAACTTTGCAATTGGAAGCTGCAAACGGACATTAAATTCAGAAGGTCGAACAATTTTGATTTAAGTGGAATTTACGAAAGGTGCAAAGTGAATATATGAATTTTAATTAATTTTAAATTAATTATGGTTTGTTTCATTTTTCTCAGAAATTTAAGGTTACAAAAATACAATATTTTGAAATTGCATAATCGTGAATATAATAATTAGTAGTACTCATACTTTGATATTTTTAGGATTTGACCTCACAACTAATCTGCAAAGGAAGAAGCAACAGATTTTTTACCGCTTAGAAAAACAATAGAAATAGTACTGTGATTGATAAAAAAGAGTGAAAATGTTACTAGAAGTTGATAAAGTCAATAATTAAAAACAATAGAAAAAAACGTAGACTAGTGTAACACTGAAATTAGAGTTTGATTTAAGCTTTAATTAGGTTTGTTTTGTGCTTGAACATTTTTAATGTCAATTTGAAAGCAATTTATATATAAGTGTAGATTTTATTAGTATTTGTACTATTGGAATTATCTCTGTTTATTCCAACAAACAATATCAGTTTAAGTTAAGAGTCATAAAGGTTGATTGTTTATAATAAATTTATACTTTTAAAAGTGAGAATTGAAAATCAGAAGTACTCAATAAATGAAAAGAGGATTAATAAAAATTATAAAATAGAAACTTATCTGGTATAAATTATAACCCTTAATCAACCTTTGATTCCATATTATCTCCAACATCTTAGATATAAATTTAAGTTTGACGCTGATTTTAAGTTAATATTTATTCAATTAGCTTTTGTTATATCATATTTGCTACTAGTTAATATGTAAATGCAAAATCTTAAAGTAAAAATGAATAAACATTGTATTTATTATTTGTCATTTTATTTTGTAATTACTATTTTTTTAGTAGAAAAGCATTAAAGTGTTAACAATATTATTTATTTTAAAAATATACAATAATCATATATAATACCCGTACCTACTAATAGTTAGGAATATAAACAAACAGGTATCAAAATAAAAATCTAATTATGTTATTTTTATAAAATAAGGCACAAATATCTTTTAATAATCATCTACATAGAAAAATAAGCATAGTAAAACTTATTAAACAAACAACATACTACTGTAAAAAGGTACCAAATTCAATGCATTACTACTAATGTAATTATTATATTTAATATTAATAATTAACTAATAAATTAAGTTTAATTTACAATGTCAATATCTTGTTTGTGTGCTGTTATAACAAAAAAATTTTCAATTCATAAAACCTAACTTAGATGTTGTGATGATTTATAAAATTATATGATACCTAAGTTACTATGAATACATCCTGGGTGATTGTAATAATAATAGTTATTGTAAAGATATAATTCTTCCCAAAATCTAAAATGAGTTTGTTTATAATAATATCTCATTAATATTCAAACTGCTGACCTTATTAAGATTAATGTGGAAGAACATAGTTTCAGTTACTTTTCCTGTATGAGGTAATGTTACTCAAACCAAACCAACCATTATTTAACTATTGTTATTTTTACATTATTCATAAAATTTATTCCCATTATCAAATTATTTTAGGTAATAATATAACTTAAATTAATTAAAAGATAAGACTTTAATAAAACTTGTCATTGGTTTTTTTAATATTTTTATTTCTTATTACTTCTCTTTTTTTGAAAAGAAAATATTTTATTAGTACTTTGATCAAATAGAAAACTGACAAACTAAACTGTAAGATGTCAGGTTTGTTAATAGGTAACTTTAATATTAAAACTCTTTACTTAATTCTAAACTTAAAAATATGGTACTTAATTTGTCACTTTCTTTATTGTCAATTAAAGTTTTTAACAACCAAACAATGTCAGTAACTCCCAAGGACTTGAATTCAAACTTTATTTATTAAAATATTATAATAACTTCTCTATATATTGACTTATAAATAATTAAAGAAAATATCTCTTACGATTACTTAGTATTGCTCATAGATTTTATATTTAATTCATAAAGTATAAATCCACTTTATTTGATTAATTTAAATCAATATTATATATTAGCTTCTATTATAATTAAATAAAATATATTTAGAACTTCTAATTATGTTATTAGTGACTGTTTCTCATCTGAAATATACAAATAAAATGTACAATATTTTATTTGTGATTACATAATATATGCAATATTAAATATATATATATTTTTCAAATTAAAGAATAATTTATGAACTTACATGCAATATAAATATCAATAAAAGATATCCAATATCACTAGATTTACCTCTACTAATTTATGATTTTTTGATATTTTCATATTTATTGTTCTATTATTTATCCTGATTGATTCATAGAAAAACTAAAACTCTTAACTTAAAAATATTAACTCTAGTTTAAATTATTATAATTAGTACACGAGAACGTTAAAAAGACAGATAAAAATTAAAACCATTTCGTTAAAACGTCTAAAATATGACATGTTTTTAAAACTACCATTAAAGATGCAATAGTTGTACTGAATTGTTGCAAACACAGCTTTTGAGATCACGCTAAAACATGGGGAGAAAGCGTTTTTTCTACACTGCCGAAACATTAATTGGGTTGGCTAGAATAGGTAGTGTTCTTTTCGTAGCACTTATGTTTTATTGTATCCCGACTCACTTTAGGCTAGGCCCTGGCTACGATGTGACACGAGCTGTCATTTTCATACAAATTTATTTTCGACTTTCTACATACACTACTGTTAAGGCATCTTGACTAAGGCCTCAGGACTGAAATTTGCTAGACAACCCATATGGATTATATTTATTGACATATTAAATTAAATATAAAATAAGTTTCATTAAATAAGCATCTCGGTGAAGGTCGTTGTATAGCGGGATCTTATACTATTACTGAAAGTCACTAAAGACGAATATTCAAACGATATAAGAATATTTCTTTGATGGACCTTTTTTATCACCAATTAGTTTTTCGTCTACAATGCACATTTTAATTTTTTTTAATAAGAAAAATACAAATTGAATTTTTTTAATAATTGTAGTAATTAAGCAAATTAACAAGGTAAAAAATAGCGTACAAGTTAATTTAAATCTAATTTTAGTTTAAGCAATAGAAAGGAGAAAAATCTTGTTCCGCTAATTGTTTTGAACAGTATATATAGATAAGCACTCATTATTATGCATTCATTTTAGGTTTACCTCTGTCTTCTATATCTGAAGATACCATCGAAGTTCTGTCTCAGGTTCCTAACTTTCAAGTTGAAGTTGAACTGATGACCAGTCCAGCCCAGGAAACCAGGGTAGCCCCACCTCCATCCACCCCAAATAGAGTATCAACCCAAACCCAATCCATTTATTTAGATTTTTTTCCTCAGATGATATGTTATCAGATGGCAGATTTGTTTGGTTTTATACAGGTTTAGAGGACATTTCTAAATTTAATTTGGTGTTCTCTAGATTATTACTAATGCCATCATCATTAAATTATAGAGGCAGCCAAGTCATTAACATTAGTGTAATGAATCAATTTCTTTTGATGTTAGTTAAATTAAGAAGAAATAAACCTGATTTTGAGATGGCAATATTTTTTTGGCATAAGTACTACTGCCGTTGGGAATATATTTGTTACATGGGTGAATTTTGTTTATGAATAATTATGGACACAAATAGATATTTGGCCTAGGCTCTCACTGTTTGATTATTAAATGCCAGCTTTGTTTAAGCAATATCATCCAGCTACCAGAGTGATAATAGATGGTATAGAAATATCCATATCAAAACCAAAAAATCCAACAGCGCAATAAGCAACATTTAGTAGCTACAAACACCACAACACTATAAAATTCTTGGTGGTTGCTACACCTGGTCGCCTGATATTGTTTTGTTCAGATGGATATACAGACTCCACCAGTGACTGCCAAATAACTGAAAGCAGTTCCCTTTTAGCTGTTATTGATGAAAAAGATGCAATAATTAATGACCGTGGATGCAATGTGCAAAGGGTCTATCACAATTACCTGGTGTAAAATTAAAACATGATAGACAATTAGCAAAAAAAATTAATACATATTGAGCGTCTTATCTGGCTAGCAAAAACATTTAAAATATTCAAAGTTGATGTAAATTCTTCTTATGTGCCATGTTTATCAAGAATATTTTTCTTTTGTGTTATGCTATGTAATTTTAAAGAAGGAATTGTAAAATAATAGTCCAAAGTAATCAGTGGGTTTTACTGTATAGAACCGTGCCGGGGGTCTTCAATTCTGCTTTTAATTTAGGAACAGTCCATGTCGAATACATTATTCAGCAGTTTTCACTTGTGAACACCTTTAAAGATTTATTAAATCGTACCTAAGGTTTACGAAAGAAATGCTGAAAACTAACAGCTTATTGCTATGAGCAATTTGTTGTATCACAACAAGAACGAGTCGTGTTTAACTAAACGGTGTCGGTAGTCTTTGAGTCATTGCGTCCATTGGTCGGGTTGTCTGATGTCTCTCTCCCTAAAATATGGCAAGGGTTGCCGATGGCTGGCCATGCGTCATACTCATGAACGGTTATTTCGACTATGTGTTTGCGTGTTGTTCCCACGAAAATGTAAGTGCGTGCTCCTATTTCACCATACCTTCTGCTGATAGAGGACAAGTCTTTGTTTTTAATTTGTTATTATTATTAATTACTTAAGATGTCATGTGGAACATGGTGTAATGGTTGCAGCTCCTTACCAACGTTGTGTAAAAAAAAACATGGCGATTAAAAAGTTCTGTTCCTCTTCCGTTCTACGCCCGTGATTTGAGAACTGGCACTAAATATAATGTTAGAAGCATTTCATATCCATTTCTTTTTTTGACGATCATAAGTGTACATTGTGTTACCTATATTATTAAATTATTTTTGAATTTGAGTGTCACCCAATGTAAAAATATAATAATAAGTGTGTACAAATTCAAATAAAATTTACTGGAATATAAGCATTAATCAATACTGACGCAGCGAGCACACCAGCTACTTTTATTCGTATTTCGTTGTCCTATCTTCATTGAATTTCCTTTTAAAAAGTCACACTAGTCATGGATTTTGTATTATACTTAAAAACAATTTAAAAATGTTTAATCATGAAATCATTTTAAAGACATATTTATATCAAATGGAAAGGGCATAACAATAATATAGATAACAATAAACGTTTTTATTGACACCTAGGTATTATACATAGTAGGAAATATAAATACAATCTTCAGCTATACAGCTTATATCTATTTTTACACCAACAGTTCGATAATTTATGATTAATGCTAATAGAACCAATATGTAAATAAATATTCATAAAAGAAAGCTTTTCTTCTATTACTAAGTTATAATGGAAAATACACTTTGAAGCCTCTACTTATATCATAAACACTGAGTATATTTTTCCAATACAAACTACATAAATTATGTGATGTTATTTATAATGTAAACCTTTGGTTTCATATTTAAAAAAAAAACCATATGTTTTATAATGCTAAATAAGATTCCATCAAGCAAATATTATTTTCTTTTTGTTTCAGTTCTCAGTACACTGACAAACACACAACAAAATAATTGCAATTAGGGTCTAAATGAAACCAATACTTATTGGTTTATTGCATTCAAATGAACCCCTAAGATATATAGTATATACATATAAAAAACACATATTATGCACCTAATAAAAATAAAATACCTTATATAGAATAGCTACACAACTTAAACAAATATATAATTCTGTTCTTAAAACATATCTAAATGACACAAAGAACAATAAATGTTTAACATAAAAACCACAAGCTAAAGAAAACATAACAATTTAACTTATACATAAATAAATGAGATTAAAAACTATGTATTAATAAAGTCCTACCCTTATCTTTTTTAACATGGACTTTTATTGAGCTACATTTTATGATTTTTTTATTATAGAATATTATTTAATTCTGAACATCCGAGTAGCAATATTAAATTTAGATTTTCTTATAGTAATAAGTTTTTAAGAATAGAACCTTTGATTATATATATGTGTCATAGAACAATGCAACACATTTATCACATAGCAATGGTCCAACTTTAGATAGAATAATTTACAATTTCGGCTCTTCTACAAACATGCTGCTTTGAAAGTAATCAAATGTTTCAGATTTTTACTTTAAACTTTGGCTATATTCAACTTTTATATCAAAATAAATGTTTTTCTTGTTAATCTGTTTGACATATTTTGTAGCTTAATTCTTTATATTTTTCCTAATGGCAGGCTAAAGTCTCTCGACAATATCACCTATATTTCCTTACTTAGCAGAACCAACATTTGGTAAAACCTCACCACTAGGCCATATAGATCATTTGAATAGTTATTAAAAACAGATCCAGTTACGGTTATAAAAGAATTAACCTCAAAATAGCATGTTTATAATGGCCTTATGACTACGTAATTTCGATGTACTCTATTACTACTTTTTAAATGGATTCAGTCAGTAGAATTAATATAGAGACTGTATGCTAAAAACTGTTGTAATATAAACTATTTTGGGTTGTGAGAATTTGTAGGTAATTTTTCACTATATATAAATTAATGTCATGGCAGAAACAAAGTAATCTATTTTAACAACAACAATGGGCTATTTGAGGTTGCTATTATGCATAAGGAGTATTTATTCAATGGCAGGCATACATTTCTAGACTAATAAAAACTGTATTTGGACAAAGGTAGTTAAAGTTCTTAAATTAAGAATGGGCAGAGCTTAAGCTGAGTAACTACTCTCCTCAAAAAACTTAAAAAATGAATCCTTAATATAATGGATTTTAACATTCCACATATTCTCTATGGTTACCAAGAGCAATCCATTCATACAAATAAAAAATAAACCAATAGTTATTCATTTCAAACTCCTTATTTAGTTTTACCTTCAGGAATCAGCCAATTAAATATATATAATTTTATAGATTAATAGCTGTTGCCCGCGACTTTTGACAAATTAAAAAATAATTTAATAAAAAGTTTTATACAAAAATTACCGCTTCCTCACCCCCATTGGTTTTTTTAAAAAAAAGTACCTAACAACAATTGATTCTTTTTTGTCATATGTGAGCTCAAACAACAATATCCAGATGTTCCTTAGGCGCAGGCGCCAATACATGTACTTGTTTTGTTTTACCCGCGTGATACACTTGACCTGGACCAAATGGTTCTAACCGGGGATGCGCTGAAATATCCTTTTTGGGATCTGTAAAGCAAATTTAGCATTTAATATTAGACCTCGACACTGTGGTGCTATAATGGATTAAAATGTTTTCTTTTATTTAAAAGCAGAGTGCAATATATGCTAGAAGAGAGCAAAGATTAACACAGTGAAATACAACAAAATTATTTCTATTGGATTTGTATAAGGTTCGTCCCGAGTCGTGGCAGTGAGATCACGATTTAAAGAGGGTAGACCAATAATTTGAAAATGAATGAATGAATTTCTACCCTTTCATATCTCACATCGAACACAGTGTATTATAGCAAGAATAATCAGTTATAATTCTAATAAAATAAAAAATATTTTTTTATCGATAGGTGGAAAAAAATATTTACTAAGAAATTGAATTAAAATTGATTAGTAACCTTTGGTATTAGCAGCGATGTATTTGGACAATCGGACGGTTGGTAGCGGCAGATACCCTGCCATGAGTGGCATCACATCTAATGTTACGTTTTGAGGCTCGCCGGTGGACGAATCCATTGATATTACACCTGTAATAAATATTGATTTTGACTTTTATAGAGAGACCCGGTTAATACGATTGTATTTATAACTCGGGGGGAATAACATGGTGGTGTAGTAGGTAAATATGGCAATAAATACCTCATTATATGGTACTAAAATTACGAAGTTTTTGGTATAGATGGGTAGTTACAAAAATTAAAAAAAAAATCATAGGCGCTACAACGGTTTAGCTTTAGATTTCTGTATCTTTCGTGACAATTTGTTTTGTCTAATAGGAAGTGTAACACGCCGGTTTCCTCACGCTGTATACGAACACGTGTTAAATGCGCACATCAAAATATGTCTGGTGCACAACCGGGAGTTAAACCTTCGACTTTACACACGAGCGTCGCGTGACGTGACGTCACTAGACCAATACTGCTCGTTACGAAAATAATAGTACAAATTACAAGTAAAAATTAATAGAAATAATCCTACCTGCAGTTCTCCCTAAGACTGCCCACATAGTCTGATCAGCCAGCACCTCATACATCAATGATGTGTATTCAGTTTCATTTACCTAAAAATAAACAATTTTTACTGTTTCTTCTGTATAATATACTTGAATAAAGCGGAAGAGACTTTAAGTAGAGACTGGGTATCACGTGCATATTCTATAAGCTTCACACCCTGATAGAACGGATGACCGACATGACCGGAGTATCACTAGATGTAGAACAGATGGACGTGATCATACGAGACACGGCCACCAGCCCCCCAATTTAGAGGTTTGAAATATTTCTAAAAATTGCAATAGAAAATTCGACATTAGTATTTGAAGAAAGGTAATCTGAAGCGGAACATGCCAATACCACAAGATCTTTCAGCCAATTAAATGCACAGAACACGTACCCTCTGAACGCTCAAATGCAGACAGCACACTTGACTTGCTCTGCAGAAATCCGATCCTTTTCCCGGCTCCAATTTCGTTCGTATAACGAACAGTGTCGTGCAATCTTGTATGTCGATCGGGCACGTGAACGTACGTGAGACCTTTTCATCTTCCAATCGGTATTGTATAGTGAATGTAGCCTTCATAGGACCAGCTTTAACCAAAGGATCTTTCAGTAGTTCCCACATAAACGATGCTGTTGTTCCGTCTGATGATATTTTCTGAAATTTTATTTGAGGTAATATATTTTACTTTTTTACACCACAGAAAAAAAAGATTTAAAAGTAAAAGATTTTTCGAAAGCTTTCACGTCTAGTTTTCTATTCTGTTTCTTTTGCTTTTATAACTTTTTATGTTTAATAAAAGTCCATTTCATAATTATCCAATAGTGACCAACGCTCATTGCATACTAGGTATATACTGAAAACTTACCTACAGACTACCAACAACCTTATTAAATAATGAAGAGTGGAATGGTGGTGAACATATTCTATAATAACACTACAAATACAAAACATAACCATAACTTTTTTCCTACTTAAACCTTATTTACTGATTTATATAATAAATTAATGCACTAAGTATTTCATTATAAATAAAAAATATTTATATAGATTTTTTTTTAAAATGAGGTGAAAATGCGCTTACGCAGGCCCGATCCATGGATGTCGAGCTTGGGACTGTGGGGCCTGTGGGGCCGGGTCTTTACTCAAATCCCCCTGCTATTCAGAGGGGTAGCGAGACTCCACCCACTAAAAACACCTCACACGCCCTTAAGATGGGCCCTCGGAGTTCGCCAGGCATTCTACCCAACTTATATAGAAAACTTATTTAACACTAATTAGTTTTAACTTACCATATCATCATGTGCTTTTGGATTAAGATTGGACACAGTTATGTTGCCGTCACAATCCAACTTAGGCTCTGTCAATACCAGATGTATGAGATGTCCGACTGTAGACTTTAGAGTGACATGGACGAACTTTCGAGTATTTGAGGTGAGGAGCCTCCAGGCAGCTATCATAGGAGGAGAGAAATGTAGAGGGACCTCCATTATTGACTCTAACCAGGGGCAGGTTAGCCACACCTGTAATATACGAAAAAGATAAATCAACATTTTGGTTATAAATATGTATAATATAAGTTGTTGTACCTCATTTAAAAAATATAAGTACCTACAAATAATCAAGCTTCCTGGTTAAAGAACCTCTCATTTCTTTCTTATTTTTTTTATGATTGGACAATTCACACCAATTGACCTAGTCCCATGCTAAGCTGGTGAAGCTTGTGTTATGGGTACTAGGCAACGAATATACATACATATTATACATAGATATACCTAACACATATAAATACATATTTAAACACCCAAGACCTAAGCACAACACTAAATGCTCATCACCTCGATGTTTGTCTCAGCCGGGGATCGAACCCGCGACCCATGGATTCGCAGTCAGGGGTACTAACCACTAGACCAATGAGCCGTCAAATGGTTTATGGTTATTATGTATGTGAAAAATTAGAAATTAACAAAGACAAATATTCATATACTTTGGCTATGAATTAAGATTACTACAATACACTGAACCTACCTTGTAGTTTTCAAAAGTAAGGAATGCGTTTTTTCCCATATTTTTCGTTAAAGATATTTTTACGTATATTATATCAAAAGTCACTCACCGTGTGTTCAATACTTTTTTCCCTCTTCGGTAACAAAACAGCGAACAATCGTAAAGGAATTTTCGTAGTATGGAACGGTTCTGATGCCTCCACTGGTATCGTTAATTCCCGGGATAGTAAGGAATTCACTCCATATCGGAGATGAAGGCCCGACGAGGCTTTAAGGTGTATTGTTGTATTCTACAAAAAACAAACATACTCTAGCCATTTCTTAAGGAACTGGTTATATTATTTAGGCAGCGCTACGGATTTGTTTTCTTATAACACAATTAATAACAATATCTAGATTTATTTCATAATGCTTTTAGTCTCAGACCTTTACTTACGTTTAAAATTAAAGACATACAAAGTATATGTGATATGAAATGGAGAAGCGTTTATCGACACAAAGCGATTGTCTTATTTAAATTTTGGTTATTTTAATCGAATATCGCAAGTATTTGATGATTATTGATAGCGAAATTAGTTTATTTCCACGCAGACAAGTCGTGAACAATTTAAATCAACCGAAAAGTTCTAAATAAGGCTTCGTAAGTCCTTAATGAGGAATAGCAGTTAAGGGGCCGTTCAAGTATTACGTAAGCACTATAGGGGGGAGGGGGGTTCTTTGATTTTCTTATTTGGTGATTACGTCAACAGTAATAATTTACCTTTTTACACATACTACCCACACATTGTCTATGCTTGAAAACAAAATCCATTTTCTAGGATTCCAACAAAAAATTATTACGTTTATGTACTATGATTTCTGAGAGCTTTGCTTACTTTTGCTAAAAAGAGGAGGCGGGATAAATTGTTAACGTAATACTTGAACGGAAATTTAGATTTTTTATAGACATTCATTAGTGTATGTATAGTATTAAGTTGCATAAATTTAATAAAAATCATACCTCGTCCATCCTCGAACAACCATTAGTAACAACTAGCTCCATATCGTGTTCCAAACCCGCAACTAAATCCTTCTTTGGCTCAACTTTATTCAAATACACGCTCACGCCTTGTGTTATCACTTCAAAACCCATTTTGGAACTTAATACATCAGATATAAAGTCTATTTTCCCCTCGACTAATAAAGATATTACACCGAGCTTAAACACCCCGCATTTGGTCGGTATACACTCAAATAATACTTCATTTAAACCTGGTTTTATTATGAAGTCAGTACACGTGAGGTAAAATTCGCAGTTAGATTTGACTTGTGGAACTGGTTTACGATACTTCGTGCTGTCCGATCGTTTTAATATCATTTTTGGGTTATGACATTCTATAGTGGCCTTTTGAAGGGATTTATCTTCTTTAAAATGGAGTTTTGAGGTGAACTGCATTGGATCTAATAGAGGATTCTTGGGTTTTAAGTCATCCAGTCTTATACTGAAAAGTATTACACATTTGCAATCAGTTGAAATATTGTATTTTCAATATTACACTCGATATTGGTTCAATAGGTTCAGTCCCTAACAACGGTAGGTAGCGCTGTCTCAAGATAAAAAGGCGAATCAGCATCGACAAACATCCAACTTTCCATTTATATATGTATTGCATTTTCTATGTTTTTTGAATTTCCGTAGCGCTTATGTTACAGCGCGGCCACACGATGCGGTAACGGTGCAGTGCGGCACCACACCGCAATTACTTCGAGCTATAGGGTGCCACACGGGCGATGCGGTGTGGCAATATATTTTACCCCTCCCGCCTCGTCTCGCAGGTCACAACTCGGCGCGCTTGTGACATGGTATAGTAATTTGTATGTGGGATGACGTTGCGGCACCGCTCCGGTCCCGCACCGCATCGTGTGGCCGCGCTCTTAACTTTGGGAAAGCGCAGTACAAAAACTCATTATTGGGATCTGGATTGCTGCCGCTAAGAGTTCTTCCGAGGATTGGAGATAAATACATAACATTCTAATTATAAACCAATTTATTTTTAGATTCCCAGTGAAACAATAATTGTAGACAGACGGGAATCATCAACTATTTTCAATAATTGATTATATGAATATAATATAATTACAGAGAATTGCGTTCGAACCCTATCGATACAGAGCTTTATTTTTTGTTAAGGGCAAGTAACTTGTTAGTACTGTGAAGAAAAACATCGCATCAAACTTAAGTATAACATGTAAATTATAAATGAAATAGACATATTATATGTTTCTCCTATACTCAATTAGGGTGTTACGGACTTTATACAATGGCTGTTATAAATATACAAAATCGCAGTCGAATCTAGTACTTCAAAATACTAGATTCGAAATCGCTTGTTAGCGATAAGGCCGCCCATTGCCATATAACTTTTGTAACCTGTTTTTTTTTGTTATGTGTATGTTTGTGAATAAGGTAATAAAGCATAAATAAATAAATACTTCAATATTCCTCACTCACCTTGAACTAAAACTAGAAACATCATCACTAGACTTTTTCGGACTAGCCTGTATACCTAAATCAGTCTTATTTTTCACCGGCGTCTTCTCTACCTCACAGGGGTCTATACAAATGGTCGCTTTCGTACACACAACGTCTTTTGGGAGAACACTCTCAAAAACCAGTTTACATTGAACCTTATTTTCTGTGATATAACCACGTTCGGACGGCAATAGGGTTGAGGTAATAAGTCGAAAGCAATCGCTAAGGTCCGTTTGGACTGAATCTTTATCTGTGAGATTTTGTTTGATTGACTTCATCATTTCCTCAAAGAAGAAATTTCTGACTAGGATCTCTAGTTCAGCTGTACTTGCAATCTTTGCTGATAGTGTTGTGTATCTGTAAGAGATTTGTGGAAATTGTTAATTAAATTTGCCAAAAATTATTAATAAATTAATTTTCCAATTTCAAACCTGTCAAAATCATTCATTTTCTTGGCAGCGGCGACCAATTCGAGCCTCGTTTGAGCTGCAAGTTCATGCCAGCCTTGTTCCTCGTAAGATCTTAACGCGTCCACGAGAAATACAACCGCTTTACTGGTCTCACCTAACTCCGAATAGAATGCCGCTAAGTCTCTACCAATTTGACGAGCAAATCTGCAAAAACATGAAGTTTGTTAAAAAGCTTTTCTCGTGAACCAACTAAACAAATTTTTGTTTAAAAAAAGGTAATTAAAATTATGATTATCTTAATATATATAAATTACGTGTCACGTTGTTTGTCCGCTATGGACTCCTAAACTACTAAACCGATATCAATCAAATTTGCATACCGTGTGCAGTTTAAACTAACTTAAAAGATAGGATAGCTTACATGTTCATTTATACCCGTAATATAATTTTATTGCAAATTATTTGGTTATTATTTGACAGTAACAATTCTAACAGATGGCGCCAGCAGATTGAAAGTACCAACGTTTCACATAAGCTACAATATAATGGCATAACCAACAAAAAAGCAGACGGACCCCATGACTGGTGTTCTGCTACCGTTTCCCTTGAATAGTTTACTACTACGTAATATAAGAAAAACCTTAGCCATAGCAACGCTTGGCCGAGTCTGCTAGTAATCTTAATAAAGATTGATGTTGCAGCTCTCCCTAACTGGGAGCGCTTTTAAGTTGGATATCCATATTTGTACGACACAGTTCTAACGGTCCGATAATGCACGAAATGTATTTTAAAAAAATTGTTTGATTAGTACTGTAAAAGAGTCACATAAGGAGGTCATGAAAGCTAAGTTTGTTTCTATGATTAGTTCTGTGGAGAAAAACACAGCAACAAAAAAGTTTTTAGATGCAGTTGACACGAAAAAAACAAGTTTATAAATTCCTTATATAATTTTGTTAAGATGAACCTTAATCTTCCAATATGCTTATACGTCCCCATAGCCAATTCGGCTAACTCCAAATAGTACTGCTGAAAGGATGTACTACTGCATAAAGCCTCCTTCAGCCTCACGGTTGGGGAATTATTATTTGTCTCTGTATCCCCCATTCCGGCTGACAGCATAACAACCAGGTGGAGCTGTTCCGATGTAGGTTCCGGAGAACCAGGGAGTAGGCCACACAGCTTGCCGAGCTCGTGAAGCTAAGAAAGTAAGTTAAAAAAATATTAGCGGATCAGAAGGTAGTTTTGAAAAACTAGACAAATCATTTTGGGTTTTACACTGTGAGTTTAAACTCCTGAAAACTGTACTTTATTTATACAGCCAATTTCCAACATATGAAAATTAGAAACGTATTTATAACAAAAAAAAACTGACCCCAGTGGTAGCACTAATTGTAAATTTATATATAGTCAAATGTTTTTACGGTTGTACTATTTCGGTAAATTTATTTTTGATAGGATTAAGACAGCACGGTACCTTATCTTTAGCATTATGCAACAAGGGAGCTTGCATATCAGTGCACGCTTCACACACGCGCAACGTTTCAACGCAAGCCAAATGTGCCCAACACGCCGAAGCGCCATCTATTGACGGTGCCCCCAGTAATGATAACTCCACAAGTGTATTGTGTACTGTGCTTATACAGCGGGACGCGACCTGAAACAGTATATTTAATTTATCAAAATTCGATGTTTGCAGTACAGTATGAATGAATATCCCCAATAATAAAGAATGATTAAATAAATACTTATATTATATAAAAAACATAGTCTCAGAACTTTATATAATAACAGGGCATTATAAAATAGATTACATAGAAATATGTTTTTGTCTGTAGTATTGATTGTTGTTGTTTAATGACGAAAAATATACATAGGTATTAAACCCTGAATAAACCAACTGCTTTACAAACTACAGATGCAGTCTTTTAATAGAAGTTAATTGCCTTTTGAGCCTAGGAAACAATGCAACTAATTAACTGACATGATAACACAGTCATGTGGAAAACAATTTCATGTTAATTTATTACTGGAACTTTAATGAGAACAATTGCATTAATTTACTGTTGTTTTTATAGAAGTTAATTCACATACAACTTATCATAGATATAAAAAAATTAATGTCATACTATATAACTGAACTACTCTTTAATTTATACTGTTATTACAGAATAACATATAGAACAACAGTTTTATTGTTAAATATGTATCTTAAATAGTTAGTCCATGTTTTGTACGAATCAATAATATTAATGCTTACCTCCTCAGGTTTTTCAGTAAGTAATAACATGGCACTCTGTCGTTGAAATAAATAGCTCCTAAAGTCTAATAGAGAGGCTTTTTGTTTAATTATAAGTTCCCTTAAATGCATTGGCACAGTTGTTGTCAGTCTGATGGCTTGCCATGATGTAATTTGTTGTTTAAATGTGTCAAGCCATTTAGGACTTTCTGTTACATTAGAATTGAGTACAAATTGAGAAAATAAAGCATCTAACTCATCATATTGGACTAGAGCTTCTTCATATAAGCCAAGCATTTCAAGCACAAATGCTAATTGCTCCTGAAATAAAACTAGCATATTTAGTGTTTTTGTGAACTGAATTATTGCTTGTAAATATTCCATTAATTACTCTTGAACACAAATATAAGTGATGAAAGAATACAAACCTGCAAAATAAAATATTTACAATAATCCCATTCTGGGTCATTTCTTTTTTCTCTCTGTTCTCTCATATATTCCTCAAACTTATTTAATGCTTTATTATAGGATACTAAAACTAAATGCCGTAATTTTGCAACTAACGCTCTCCATGACTCCGCACTTCTGGCCTCTGACTTAATAGGATTAATTACAGATATAAATCTATCTTCTGTCTGCTTTATAGCAAAATCTCCTTTAACTTTATCAAGAACTGTTGTTCTTGGTAAAAGTTTATTTGTTTTCCTTATATCGTAAGTTTCCACTAAAACAATCATCCAGTCAGATACATTATTTTTTTCTAATTGTTTGAACCATATTTCTATATCTTCCCTAAGAGTTGTTTTGTAATATTCTATGTCCTGAAAAGAATATTTGTAACATTATTTGACTTTTTCCTACTACTTATACACAAACTTACATGATTCATTTGTTATGTATAAAAAAATTGTATCAATATTATTAATATCTTAATCTTCTTGTATAAATACCAAGGAATTTTTTTTTCTTACCACACAATCAGTCCAATAAATATGTAATATAGGACGTTTCAATAAATTTAGTTCTGGTTGCACTTTGTCCTTATTATATTTTATGAAGGATGCCTCTAAATAAACGAATTTTGTAATCCTCCCAAAAGACCTTCGCCATTCACAGGAATCCTGAGGAATTGCTGCAACCAACGGAGCTTCCAGGGTGCAAAACAAGTTCCAGTCTCCCGCGCCTAATAATAAAAAATGGTATAGTTAATAATGACCTCTAAAGGAGGATAATGAAACATTTAACTGGTGGACACTTTTATAATAACTTACATGTTATTATTGGTTTGTTTTGCATCCCGTCTTCGTTTGCTGTAGAGCTATCTACACCCTTCATTTTTCATCATCAACTATTCCGCTTAGTTCTATCTACAATACTCTAAAATATTACTTCGTCAACAGGATAAGTCCACCCACATTTTGTTTAATATGGATAGAGATAATCAAGCATGTTGGACCTTATAAATCTACCGAATCCTGATAGTAGAAGATAAAAACAAGGAATCTAATTAGACGAATTAATCAAAATTAATTGATATTTCGTAAAGAAAACCCAGTGTTCAAACATTAAAAAGTCAAAACTCATAACGAAGTCAAAATTCGGTACGTCGTGACAGGAGACGTCGTTCATTAGTGACAAGGTTTCATTTAATAATGTAAATTGTAATTTATCATTTATTCATGTTTGTCTATTCATCTACGTTTTTGCATCTGTGGTGTACTAGTACATATATCCAACAAGCACATCACTCACTTTTAATATACGGCTACTATGCTTCTTTCTACGCCAATTCGATTATTTTAGATCAGTATTAATAAAATAATTTATTATTATTAACAATCATCATAATATAGATTGATTGAAGTTTTTCAGATATGAGAAAGAAGTCCCAAACTTTAGAAAAATAATCCTTATGGTTAAAGTAAAAATCAAGAATCGACTATTTGTTTTAATTTATGTCATTTAAAATTTAATATACAACATAAGCAGAAAAGGTTTCGTTTTTCAGATGACAAAAAAACTAGAACAAGTACATAGTAGGTACAATATAAACCTACAGCGCAGAAACATACAAAAAGAGACTGCGGCAGGTGAAGCCAACTGAGTTGAAATTTGAGCATCTTTCATTCATCCAGCATACGTTTTTTATTCTGTACTTGCCTCTTGGGTTTGCCTCGTAACACGACGTTAATATTGTTATTAAATCTATCACCGCGTTTTTAAAACATCGGTTTCGCGAACTAAACTACTGTTAATCGATTAATAGACTGCATTATGTTGTCAATTTATTTACGATTACGGTTTACGCCCATCACTATAAATCCTTGAAAATGGTAAAATCGAAAAGGGAATACCAAAAATGTCGCACTGTTTTGGTATTGTCTTGATTAAAAGGAAATGAGATTTTTCTATTAACAAATGATTAGAAATTTATATAGAGGAGGAATTTATATTTATAGGATAAACTAAATTTATTTTGTAGTAAGCAAGTAAGTAAAAATACTTCCTTAATCTTGTAATAATAGAGATTGCTGTACATTTATCATTATTTTCATCGATTTTGTCATTATATTATGAATAATTGCTGTGATTTAGAAACTTAAGTAAATAACTACATTTTACGCTTAGTAAGTGAAGTATTACGATATATTCTTGAATAGTGTAGTCTGTTTTTAAAAATAGATTGCCTATTTTTGCATATAATCATTGTACGCTTGGTTAATGCGAAATCGTGAATTAATTAATTAGATAAAAGACGGCATTTGAATAGAATTGCTTAGCGAGTATCTTTAAAAGATTTTGCTGTTTTAGTCATGAATACGACAGCGCCTACTTCGGCAGATGCCTGTCTTAGTATCGTCCACTCGTTAATGTGCCACCGGCAAGGGGGTGAGAGTGAAGGATTCTCAAAGAGAGCTATTGAGTCTTTAGTAAAGAAATTAAAAGAGAAACGAGATGAACTAGATTCATTAATTACTGCTATAACAACTAATGGTGCACATCCAAGTAAATGTGTTACAATTCAACGGACATTAGATGGTAGATTACAGGTGAGTACAGTAATGTTATGTGTATGAAATATTTATTTCAAATAATATATATTTGGTTAGGGTTGATAATTACTTTGAGAAATAGCCTACATATTCATACATGGCACACGTTGGCTAGATATTCAGAGATACAACTATTTAAAATGAAGCATCATTTTACATAAGTTATATATTCTTCATAAGTAATAAGTATTTATATAGAAAGATACCGAATTGTAAGTTAGTAAGCTCAAAGTGCTTTAAGTCTAATGTTAAGATATATATCAAACCTGGTTTAGTGTTAGTACTTTCAGTAACATTCATATAATTCAGCTTATTTTGTCTATTGACTGTACCCTTGTTTGTTAATTTTATGTAATTCCAATCAGGTTGCGGGACGAAAAGGATTTCCTCATGTTATATATGCTAGAATTTGGCGCTGGCCGGACCTGCACAAAAATGAGCTGAAACATGTAAAATTCTGTCAGTTTGCATTTGACCTAAAATGTGATTCAGTGTGTGTTAATCCATATCACTATGAAAGGGTTGTGTCCCCTGGAATTGGTGAGTTAATTACTCTGTTGGATATATTAAAATCTGAGTTCATTTTTACACTACCTCGCACTAATGCCTAGTAATGAAAAATGAGAACAGTGCCACACATGCTATATATGGTGAAAATGGATGACAATTAGGTTTATGCATTGTATACATGATTTGTCAAATTAATTTGTAAACTCCTTTCAGCTAGTGTAGGTAGTGCTTCATTAAATATTTTCTGACAATATCTGTGTAAAATTAGTTGAATCAATTTCATTAATTTTTGAGATAGGTGACAAAATGCCAAATTATTTTTTTTGTAGATAATATTTAATTGTAATGTAACATTAATAAAATGGTAATTTAACAGATTATAAATTTTTAATTAGTTTTTCAGATTAATAGTTTACTGAAGTTAATATTAAGAATGGTGTCTTAATAATATGTCATTAATATTTATTTCAGACTTATCAAACCTTACACTCCAATCAGGGCCTAGTCGGCTAGTAAAAGATGAGTATACCGCTGGGATCGGAGGTAATGGTATGGACATGGATACTGGAGAGCTAGTCACAATACAACACCATGCTACCAGCCCAAGACATCCACATACAACTATAGCACACCACCATCAACAATTTCAAGCAACTAATATTATAATAAATCAAGGACAAAGTGAGAATTATTTTATATTGCATGACTTTAATTAGGCAATTTAAAGTAACCAAAAAAAATTAACTACTTGTTTTGATAAATCATAATTGCTAAGTAGAATAATGATAAAAACTTTAAATTGTCTCAAATCCAATTATGTTTTGTGTGTTACTTTTAATTATTTTAAATGTCTTTTATTTAATTTGCTGTGCGTTCAAATTTGTTTTGCATTTCCGTTAGCGCCAGATGGCGTACCGAATATGTTTTCGCCGCACGGACAGCGCCCTCGACCCGGGGCGCCACCGCAAATGGGGCATTCGCCTGGGCAACAAATGATCTCTAACCATCCAAATAGCCAAATGACACAAATGGGCCCTGGAACTCCCCAGATGGGTAGAACTACACCCCAAATAGGACCAGGAACACCACAGATGGGTCCTGGAACGCCCCAAATGGGACCTGGCACACCACAAATGTGTCCTGGTACGCCACAAATGGGACCTGGTACACCTCAAATGGGCCCTGGCACTCCTCAAATGGGACCTGGAACACCACAAATGGGTCCTGGTACACCTCAGATGGGTCCTGGCAATCCACAGATGGGGTCCAATGTGCCACAAATGGCGTCACCTAGAATGGCGTCAGCTCCCAACCAAATGTCACCTGGCGCTCCACAAATCACAAATATAAGCCAAGGGATGTCTATGAATGCTCAGCAAATGATGGGTCAGCAGAGAGCTATAGCACCAAAGCTAGAGCCACCAGATACAATGGATGCGCGAACTATGTGGAGAATGAATCATTGTAAGCTTTAATATTTTATTTGCACTTGATTTAGCCTGATCACGTTTATTTGTTGTATGGAGTTGATTTTTTTTTGTTGACATAGAAATAATGTATGTCCTTCATCTCTCTATTTATTAAAGTTCAACGCCCAAAACAGAAATTTTTATTATCCTTGAATTTCATTAGAATGTAATTTTTTAGCGGCTATGCCAGTTACTATGTCCCCGGGAGGGTCTACCCCTATTATAGATGGCGCGAACAACACGTTCTTCACAACAGAACAAACATCAGCCGACACACAACTTACGCAGTCAATGCCAGGTAGGTTAAGTAAGTAGATTGACCTGTAAAAATAGTCTTAATATAGTCGTAATACACGGTTTTACACAGAACATATTTGATCTGATAAATCAAGTGTTATATGTGACTTTGCTTGGAGTTAGAATAACCGGTTAAAAGTTAACTAGATGAATATCAAAATTCGTCAATGACGTTCTGATAAAAGTGACTTCATAAATTAACAGATATACATATACCAAATAATTTATGTAAGTAAATTTTACACTACACCTGGAGTAGTATTTAAAAAATGTTCTTTATTTGCGATTTAAACCAATTAACTTTATTTGACCATGAATATCATTTTTAATGTTGGCAATCCGAAATCAATATAATTTATCCGAATGTATCCGCTATCAACAAATGTATAATTCAAAACACTTTATTTTTTTTTATTTATTTATTTATTTAACACTTTATTTACACAATAATCAAGCACTATAATTTATTTATTTATTTATTTATTTCGTAATCCTACAGCTAACATAAATTATATATAATAACAAACAGTTACACTGAAAATATAGCCAGAGATGGAAAACACATTTTACTACAAAAAGGTTCAAAAATTTACAAAATCAAACAAACAAAAAAAAAATTATTCAATACATTCAACTAAATTTAGCTAAAGTATTTTATCATAAAGCTGAAAAGTTAGTTTATTTATTCGTTTGAATCCGCCAATTTAGATTAGCCAAAATATTATATCCCTTAGGTTTTGAATAGATTATTTGTCGAAGAAAGCTGGCGGTATAAACGACCGAACTAAAGAGATTTAGTTTTTCGTTAACTATTGTATGAATCTAGGAAAATTTTGTATGCAGTCTAGATATCTCTAAAATAATATTTCTGTTACAGCAGGCTCAGTGGCGGTATCAAATGTTAGTTCAGTACCAGTTACAGCTGTAGCGTCCCCTATTGAACCTCAACAAAATGGTTTCACTGCGACAAGTCCGCCTCAGCAAAGCCCCTTGCCCCATCGCACTCAGCATCAACAAGGTAATCTTATAAATGCCACGAATATGTTGTTTTTTTAAATTTAATCAGTATTTATTTTAGGGGTGTAAATTATATAAACAGATTAACAAGTTACTGAAAAACTAGCTGCTCGTTGTCTTGCCTATACAGGGCGTTCCAAAGTTATGGGACATCAAGGGAAAGTACCTTAAATATGGTAGATAGGGTATTTTACTGAAAGAAGACTTTATGTTATTTTTAAAAGTTAGTAATTCTGCATTCTAAGATTTTCTAAAAATTAATTGCCTCGTCTGGGAATCAATGATATTTAAAGTACTTTCCCTTCATGTCTTATAACTTTGGAACGCCCTGTATACAATATATACCGTTTCATAACTAAATTTAGGTCCACAAAACAAAACTATTTTCAAGAAATGAATTTCTAAAAGTCTTCATTTTTATAAATATACATTTTCTGTGCGTGTTTCTTATAAACTCCTAACTGGCTGGTTTTGATGAAATGTTTTGTGTATTCATGTGGATTCGAGATTGGATAAGATTTACACAAAGATGACTTTTTTTTAATTTGTAATTTTTTGTATTTAAGACGTGAAGGACAACGTTTACTACTAGTTTTTTTATATAACCATCATTACTGAATAGGTATTTATCTTATTTTATTTGTATTGATTTTAACTATATTTTGAGAAAAAAAGAAACTGAGGGTTTTTTTTATGTTTTGGGGATTAAAAATATCTTTTAGGAGTCTAAGAAATATTTGCAATAAGTTTGCAGAACGCAATGCTTGTGAACTTCTATATCGGCACGTTGGCAAAAGTCGTTAGAACCGTACAAATTATTTTACTACTAAATGTGTACGCATAATCTTGCTAAGTAATGTGCTGACATTCAAGTACATAAATTTTAATACGAAGTTATAAACAGGTACCTGGACGGGCAATAACACTCTAACGTATACGCAGAGCCTTGCCCCGCCGCCGGCCGCACCGCCCGTTCCAGTGGACGCACCATCACACCATCACCATTACTGTAAGTTTATACAGCCGCAAATTAATTAAATTTCCTATATTCTTTAGCCTGTTTTTTGGTTATTATGCGGCAAAATATGGTATATCATTTATGTATTTTTGAAACAAATCCTAGTGTTAAACAGCTTTATGTTAGTTATTTGGACTATGTGTTTGTGTGTTGTTCCCACGAGAATGTAAGTGCATGCTCCTATTTCACCATGCCTCCTGCTGATAGATGACAAGTCTTTGTTTTTAATTTATTTTATTATTATTAATTACTTAGGATGTCATGTGGAACATGGTGTAATGGTTGTAGCTCTTTACAAACGTTGTGTAAAAAAAAACATGAAAGTCGTTCATAAGTGTACATTGTGTTACCTATATGATTAAATGATTTTTGACTTTGACTTGACTTGACTTTACCTTTTTATTTGAGGAAAAGTGTAGTCTCTATGGAATGCGTCTTAAACTAATATGCGTATAAATCGGCTTAAATAAAATAATTTGTGAATAATTTGTTGTAAGCCATTGCAGATTTCTTGCACTATTAAAAATGGATAAAACAAATTTATAATTATTAGGTTTTACTTGTCGAGGAAATCTCGTGGCATTAACCTTATAATAAATGGAAATCTATTTTATAATATACAGATAATGGCAACCCGGGCGGTCTTCTATCTAGCCAGCCAGCGCCAGAGTACTGGTGTTCGGTCGCGTACTTTGAGTTGGACACGCAGGTCGGGGAGACATTCAAAGTGCCCTCTAGTCGACCTAATGTTACTGTGAGTTTGTATCAATTGTTTTTGATGTTACCCTTTTTTTCGTTTAAAAATGTTTTTGATGTTACCCTCTTTTTAGTTTAAAAATGTTTTTGATGTTGGCCTCTTTTTAGTTTAAAAATGTTTTTGAGTATGACCTCTTTTTAGTAAAAGATGTTTTTGATGGTGACCTCATTTTATTTTTTTATAATATTTTCTCTCGAAGGTTGATGGTTATGTGGATCCCTCTGGCGGCAACAGATTCTGCTTGGGCGCGTTAAGTAATGTTCACAGAACTGAACAGAGTGAAAGAGCTAGGTAAGAAAATATTTTTTAATATATCAAATACTCCCTGTGCCTTCTGTGCATATCTAATTGCATAGATATTTATATTATTTATACAAACTAAATCGGTCTAACTGCACCCTTTTACTAAAGTACTTGTCTGTCTTTTTTCATCACAGCGTTTACACGATTTGACAGAAAGAAACGGAACAGTACTTCAGTTAAAAGAGTGAAATTAGACTGATATTGTTATATGAACAAGGGGATAGTGTTACCACAGTCACACCTAAGGTACAAACGCTTTAGACTTCTATGTTATATTTAAGAAGTCATTTTGAACGCACTAAGCACACGCACCTGCTTTGTAAATCCCTTAGTCAAAGCTCAAAGGTCATTAGAAGGGACCTTTTTTTTGAATGGAATCTCGCTGTTGGCCTTTAGGGCCTTAACAGCTCAGCTCGGGCTGTTTTGGCGAGCGTAGCTCGGCCAGAATGAGCGTTTTTCCCGCGACTAGCGCAAGGGCGTCTCCTGTGAGACTCGAACCTCGGCTTGGGCCGTCACGGGGTATTGTTACACCCGTTTAATGAACCTGTATATATACAATTTCCTAAGTAAAGTAATACCGCGTTTTTAAATGCAACAACTGCCATCTAGTGATCGGCATGAAAATTTAACTAATTAAACAGCGATATAAAATTTGATACACAATGTATATTTCAGGTTACACATAGGTAAAGGCGTCCAACTCGACTTGCGTGGTGAAGGGGACGTATGGTTACGATGTCTTTCAGACCACTCGGTGTTTGTGCAGTCCTATTACCTCGATCGAGAGGCTGGTAGGGCTCCAGGGGATGCAGTCCATAAGATATATCCCTCTGCTTGTATTAAGGTAAGATATCTGGGATAAAACAAATAAATATTTCAAGTCTCAATCTCTGCTTAAGCACTGTCAAATATGTCAAACTTATGAGAGAAAAATAGTACGGTTTGAGATTAAATTAGAATTTGATTTTAAAGAAATTTTTTTTTTCAAGGAAACCCTAATTCATTAATCAGTGGCGGGACAAGCTTTTTAGGTCTGGCACTCATGTCTGTTTCTTGATCATTTGTCAATCTAATAGGGAAGTAGGTGATCAGCCTCCTGTGCCTGACACACGCCGTCAACATTTTGGATCTAAGGCAAGCCGGTTTCCACACGATGTTTTCCTTCACCGTTCGAGCGAATGTTAAATGTGCACATAGAAGGAAGGAACCTAGGATCTCAGGGATGACAGTAACACGCGGACGCCACTAGGCAAACACTGCTCAAAAAGAGTTGATTACCGCTTCAATAGTTTTTAAGTCTATGCATTTCAAATATACAAAGAGGAACTTACTATATCAGCTATTTATGATTTATAAATGTATTAATCATGTATTCTAGGTATTCGATCTCCGTCAATGTCACCGCCAAATGCAGACGCAAGCGGCGACTGCGCAAGCGGCCGCAGCTGCGCAGGCTGCCGCTGTCGCTGGACATATTGCGCCTGCGCATCCGGGGATGAACAAATGTAAGTTCAGTAGTTTTATTAAAATAACACAAGTCACGTAGTCTAGTACTACGTAAGTCTTATGAAAGTTTGATCGCACTCTAACTGCTGAGAGGTGTCTGACCGGGTCGAAGGCACATTAAAAAACGGTTTTAATTCTTCTTGTTTTCCTGTAGAGACAAAATTCTTTGTAAATATTTAAATAAATATTTTTTTAAGAGTTTCTGGGATCTCCTTCGTTCTATTTTCATGGTCCGATATTGATAATTGAATTTGGAGGAAAATTAATTGGATTTAGACTTGAACTGGGCTGAATGTGTAATGGCCCGGATAATAAAGAATTAAAAACTACGAAAAATAATTAACATTGTTATTTAATTGTGCAACTCCTGGTTTCCACTTCCAGGTTTATCAGCGGCCGCAGGAATAGGAGTAGATGACTTGAGAAGATTGTGCATCGTCCGCCTATCGTTTGTGAAGGGATGGGGTCCCTGACTACCCTCGGAGCTCTATTAAGGAGACACCTTGCTGGGTTGAAGTTCATTTACACAGGTGGGTACTTATAATATTATTTACTCTTTATATTATGACATCAGGCCAAGTAGTATGTAAAACACTCTTCCATATAATCCGTATAAGCTGGAGGTCCTAACGTGGATTTTTGGCAAAATATTTGTGGAAAGCATAAAATACAATTTATCTTTTATCTTGACTATTTATCCTTTAGCCTATTGTCACCAGAATATAACCTAGCGGGCTTATACTATAATTATGTACGGAATATTATTGGACAAAGCGTTGTTGTTTGAGCATGCTTATGAATCCGTTACACAAGGTTAAATATTCGAAAGGTTAAGATTTCGCCATATGTTCGTATACACCAAGGCCTTGATCTGAACGAACCAAATCAAACAAAAAAATGGTTAAGTGCCCATTAAAGTTTATAATGAGACAAGGAAGGGCACTAAAGACAACTCATTAAAACTTTGCAACCAAAAAAAAATACGCTCGTGTGTATCTGACATTAAATTTAACTTCAATCCCACACGTAGTCAGCAACACTTAACGTATACCATCTAACTTAAATCAGAACGGAATACGGTCGCAAAAATTTTACCTATTCCAGGTAGTCAATGTCTGTGTACTAACATCTTGCCTCCTGAAGTTTTTTGAGTGGATTGGCTCCGTTTAATGCAGTTACAGCGTATACGGTGGACGTGAATATTTTACTTGTTCTTCCCTTTTTTCTTTTTCAACCTAACCATCTGTTTGTCAACACTTGTGGCACAACTCTCATTTGATCATCCAACATACTGTCGAGCGAGGTTAAAATACCACGATGCTGCAATTTTTCCGACACTTGTTCTTTTGTCACTTTGTTAATAAATAATTGATTTTCCAGAGAGCGACTACAATTGCTGGACGAGGTTCTTCACACGATGCCTATAGACGGACCTCGGACTAACATCGAGTAGGAGTTGATCCGGCTCTCTTTTGACGGGCGCTCAAGACTAACAATAACAACAATCGATTTTTTTTTTATAAATAATTTTTTTTTGGGGGGAAAATTTTTTAAAAAAAAAAACAAAGGGGGGGGGGGGGAAAAAAAGGGGGGCCGGAGGAAAAAGGGGGTTTTTTGGGGAAAAAAAAAAAAAAAGGGGGAGGGGGGGGGGGGGGGGGGGGTTTTTTTTTTTTTTTTTTTTTTTAAACCAAACCATTATTTTTTTTTTTAAAAAAAAAAAAATTAAAAAAAAAAAAAAAAAAAAAAAAAAAAAAAAAAAAAAAAAAAAAAAAAAAAAAAAAAAAAAAAAAAAAAAAAAAAAAAAAAAAAAAAAAAAAAAAAAAAAAGAAAAAAAAAAAAAAAAAAAAAAAAAAAAAAAAAAAAAAAAAAAAAAAAAAAAAAAAAAAAAAAAATTTTTTTTTTTAAAAAAAAAAAAAAAAAAAAAATTTTGTTTCCCCCCCCCCTCCCAAATCTTTTTTTTTTTGGGGGGGGGGGGAAAGAAAATATTTTTTTTTGGGGGGGGGGGGGAAGGAAAAAACCTTTTTGTTAAAAAAAGGGGGCCCATTTTTCCTCCAAACCAACCAAAAAGGGGGAGTGAAAAAAAATGGGGAATTTTGAAAATTTTTGGGCCTTTTTTTTTTTTTTATTTAAAAAAAAAATATTTTTTTTACCGGGGGGATTATTTGGGGGGGGGGGGCCCCCCCACGGGTATAAAAAGGCCGGGCCCGGAAAAAAGAGGGGGAGGAGGTGGGCTTCTTTTGAGGCCTTCGAGCGACCACACACCACTCGAACGCACGGGAAAGCGGATAGTGTGAGACTCCGTTGTTTAGTGTTGAGTAGGAAATAATTAAAAAAGACAATAGTGGGAGAGACGCCCAAAAAGGGCAGTCATCGATGACCCACATTTTAGTGGGTGCGTTGCCGGTTTTTAGTTATCTCTATGTTTGCTCTTTTTTTAAACAATTGGAGGTTGTTTCTCCCAGGGTAGACCCCCACTGAGAGTCGATTCCACAGTTCGTTAGCTATTATTACGATTCGACATTTATATAGCATTGAGAACATACATACACATAGCTACTCTATTTGTAATAAAATAATCTTCATATAAAGTAATCTCGGGTTAATTTACATTAACAAAAATGATCAAATTCTTGCTCAACACTAAGCAAAACAAAAGAAAAGGTGCTGTCTCACTCTAACATTATAAAAGTTTTAAGACCCCTTCATTAGTTTAGCGTCGATAGAAGATTAATATATCTTTAAAAAGTCCCTGATATAGCTTTACCAGCAATTGCCAGCTTATGAAGCGTCCTAACTCCAACGCACGTTTTATTTGTTCAATTATCAGTTGCTCTCTAAGTTGTATAGGAGTAAGGCAGTGTTAGAGCGAGACGGCATGAGTGAAGTGATCTATGGTCAGAGTGGGAACATTTTGTGGTAAAGACTTAAAATGTGCACATTGGCGTGTAAAGGTTTGTGTACAGTGATTGTTTAATTTGGTGAGTTTTGTTGCCATTTCTAAAAATTTTATATCTATTTTGTCTTCCGAATTTTTTGTTTGTCTTCCTTTGCTAAATTGTTTATTTCTCTTATGGTATGGAATACTTTGAATGAATATGACTAGAAATGTGACCTTATAAGGTTTTAGCTTTTGTATGTACTCTGAAAGGGGGAATAAGTTTCTTCGTCGTGTTCATTGATCATACTTCTTCATCATAATGGTTTGATTTTGAACGCACGACCCTAGGTATGAGAATCGTAGGCCTAACTAAAGCTTAGGTTTCCTAGAAAAGCGGTGCCGTTAACTAACGGCCATCATTTTACGGCCGTCTTAATTTTTTAACATAATACAAAAAAACAATCATTTTCGCTCGTCCATTTCACGTTTCCACTCATTGTATTAATTAAATATGGGCACCGCTACACGCGAACTAATGTTTACCGCTATGACAGCCGTCATGCAAATGACAGCACCGCTATTTGACGTTACGGTGACACTACGTTCACTAGAAAACCTACTCCGATGTTATTTATAGACAACGTATGGGGGACGTCACCCAACGTTACATTACGGCCGTTAGATAACGGCACCGCTCTTCTAGGAAACCGTAGCTTAACCGATATTCATTAATTTACTAAAATATTTTTGAGAAGTTATACTTCTTTAGGCGCGTTATGAAAAAATTATTGAGAGGGTGAAAATTGACTAGAAGTGCGCGGCACCTATGACACAAAATTGGGAGTGTGATTATAGCGTGCGCGAGCGAGATAGGAATAAGACAATCTACAAGTAAAAGGAAATAGAATATGCGTTTGAAGTTCGTATGCCAAGAATTTTGAATGACCATAATGACATTTGTCATTTACCTTTTAAACAAATAAAGGAGTTTTGATTATTTTTTCAAAGAAATTTATTAATTTTATATTGTGCAATACTGCCAAAGCTACAACATACTTCTTAGTGTGTGGTAGAGATGTTCTAAATATATAATTATATATACTTTTAACTACATAGAATTTATGTTACACTTAATGTAAGAGAATAATAATAAATAATAATTATTTATTTAATTTTTCAAATGTAAACTGAACTTAATTGACTATAATGACTCCTTTTCCAGTCTTTGATTATTTAATTGTAATTAATTATTTGCATGCAATCAAAAACTATTTTTAATAATGCCAAAGAAGTATAACTTCTTAGCGCCTACATAAGTACACGCACCCTTTTTTTGCTTTTTATTGCAATAGTTGTAAGCCTATTTTAGTCATATTAATTCAAAGTTTGAAAATGTTAAAGTTGGTTATAATGTTGCACATTAAAACGTATCGCTCGCGTTTTATAAAATGGGTGAACTAAATTTATGTCTTGTCTACTAAGACTGGTACAATACTGCGTTACTATGAAAATCTCGAAATGTACGCGAAAAATATCTTTGAACTGTTTTTCTGCGCATAGACAACAGTACGTGTCGTACGTGTCGTTGATCACAATAATGCGTTTTAAGATATTTACGAGTATTATTAGATTTTCAAAGACTTTTTTCTTAATTGCTTTTTAAAGTGCAAACTTACCTATGTATAGAAAATATAGAATACTGCATTAAAATAGTAACATAGATCTCACGATAAATCGACATACAACTGAACACTGCCAAAAATTTCATGGTGTTTTTGCTATTTCAAACCAAAATATTTCTACAAGACATAACTATGGTTCAACTTGAAAGAAGCCAAATGGGAATTAGTTTTAAGATACTAATTTATAGTTGTAGTATGTATGGAAGGTTGTGTTTTGTTAGCTGAATGTGATTGTCTTATGATATTGCGTGAATTGAAATATGACAACAGTTTAGATATAAAAACATAAGTCTATAGTCCATATTCTTATTCGAATCTCAAATCACAATGTAGTAGCTCTGTCAAATATATCAAACTTCATATAGAAGAAATGGTTGACAGCTCGAGATATTGATTGACGTTCTAGAATACCGGTCTATGATTTTTGTCTCTGGTTCTATTTTGTTTTATTTCCTTAATAAAATTATGGAGTTATTTTTTTGATGTAAAGTAGTTAAACAAAATACTATTTCTATTCAGTTTAATAATCCTTGCCTACATATTTTAATTCATGCACTATCAATGAATTGAATAAAAAACTGTGATGCGCTAACAAAATGATAGGATGTATTTTGAACAAAAAGTAAAATAAGGTATAATTGTGGTATTTTTGTGTACGAGACGTTTTTTAATTATAATAGATGTATCACGTGTTTTTCTCTTTAAATATATGAGATTTATTTAGTTTGCTTTGATTCGCTTTAATTTTATTATGTGCAGATTTTTGATGTGTTGAACATGAATGTTTTAGATTTTTTTATTGATTTATTTTACATACCTACGGTATACTTCATAAAGTCTGATACAGATAAGACATCACATTATTTATTGGTTGCATTTTAATTTTGTTACCAAAATATTTTGTCGTACTGTATATAAGCTGAAAAGGCGGTTAACAAATTAATTGGTACTTATATAAGTATAAACTTAAAGTTTGACAATTGACAACGTATCGGAAATACCTCTTCACAGTGATGAAATCGATTCAAAGGGTTTTAGGTATTAAGTGGTAATTTTTTAAAGATGTTGATGTTTTGAATAAGATTTTTGCAAATTCTACATGGGTGTACCGTTAACTGCTGTTTGTAAAATTGTTCGATACCATTTGACAGTTTAGTAGATTATAAAAGAGTTGAATATTGTTGTTTATACAAACATCTGTAAGTACAAGTAGCGTTTAAATATTTTGCAACATTTTTATACGCGTTGCTACGATGCAAAAACTCTACGATTATTTTGGAACGGAATCGTGTTTTGTTTTGACTGTTATTGAGTTGGAATTTTGCTTGTGGACCACTAAGTCTATGGTTTTATAAATTTGTGACTTATTACTCATTGACATTTTCTATACCGCACACGGTTAATTAGCCTTAAGTGCATAGTTTAAGAGTGAAATTGAACAGAAATGAATATAAAGGTTATTCCTCTAATTGCAGTTTTATTTCATTTTATAATATTTTTGTGTATATATTTTTTTGTTTCTACCCAAAATCAAAAGAGCTGTCTTCAGTTATCAGTTATTGTGTTTAAATCGGATCTTGCAAAGTTTTGTTTTAAACTACTAGAAAACTCACCATATTGAACATTTTTTATACATAATATATCTAAATTTTTCGATTTATTAGCGAGCTTTTATAATTAGCTTTGCTTTCTGATTTTTTTCTAATCCGTTGCTGATAATATATTGTCTAATATAAAATGAAAATTTCCGCGTAAAAGTAATTAGGTAATAAAGTTTGACATTAATTAAGAGCTATCGGGTATTTAAGTCTTAAATGTCTTCTAGTCGAGCACCTTTTTTGAGATGACATAAAAAAACGAGTCGAGCATGACGTACTCGAGCTGTAAGGCAAG